TCTCTCATGATAATTGTTTATATGATAATTGTTTATATGCTAAGGGTAATAGAGATCGTGGAAGGAAGAAGGAGAATGAGAGTTCTGGAATGTGAAATTCTAGGTTAAAGCCTAAAGACAGAAAAATGATTCATTGCTACAAGTGCAATGAGTTGGGACATATGAAGAGAGATTGTCCAAAACTCAAGAAACAGTTTGATGAGAAACATGATGTATCTTCCAAGTCCATGAATATAGTGCAGAGTGACATTACAGATTACAGTGATGACAATGCATTTTTCAGTTACAAAAATTTAGTTGAAGGATACATGAATTCTTGATTCAGGATGCTTTTTTTACATAACACCTAACAAAGAATGATTTACTTCATACATGTTATCTGATTTTGGTTTAGTCTATTTGGGTGATGATAGATGTTACAATATTGCTGACATTGATAAAGTCAGAATTAAGATAAATGATGACACTGTTAGAACATTATGTGATGTAAAACATATTCCAGATTTGAAGAAAAATTTAATTTGAAGAAAAATTTAATTTTCTCCAGATTTGAAGAAAAATTTAATTTTCTTGGGCACTTTACACATGATTTTATTCATAAGGCAGATGAAGATAGAGAAACCATCATAATTGTTAAAGGTGCATTGACTATGATGAAATGAAAGATCACTGCGGGTAATATCTATAAACTGTTGGGGAGTACAGTTGTAGGTGAAGTTCACTCTGTTGAATCATATAATGAAATTGCAGCAGATATGTTGACCAAGCCAGATATTATCAACAAGTTCTTGAATTGCTTGAACTTGTTGAATGTTTACAATTGTTAGACGACATGGTTGTCCAACCCACTTCGGTGTAAGAAACTCCATGATGTATTTCTCCTAAGGGGTTGAATATTCGCCAAGTTGGAGATTTGTTAGGTATATGTATTTCTCCTGAGGGGCTGGATATTCGCCAAGGTGGAGAATTGTTAGGTATGTCTCATATACCAGAATTTGGAATCTCTTAAAGTGAAGAGATGTGTCTCTTGGAGTGAAAAGGTGTGTCTTTTGGAGATAAGTGAGTTGAGGGAGCGAGGGCGTTTTAGTAATTTTATTTATGGGTTTTATCTATATATATGATGTGTAACCCTATGGGTATGTACTGTACTCCTTTGAAATAGTGAAATCCGCTGCTCTACTCCCGAGGACGTAAGCATTTTTGCTGAACCTCGTTAAATCTCTGTGTTCTTCTGGTTTTGTGTCGATTCCTGTTTTTCTTCGACCTAATTTCTCAACATGTATGATTTGATGAAACTCATACAAAAGATATCAATAGTGGATGAAAGATGGTACTGGATTTGTTAATAGCAATGCTTCGGTTGATGAATTTGTTAAGAAAAATATTTCGGGGATTTTATCATGAATTTTGATATTTGAGTGAAAATTTGAAAAAGGATGAAAGATGATGTTGGATTTGTAATAGAAATCGTTCGAGTGCTATGTATGTAAACGCCCCTTTCGTTTGCTATGATGGAATGAAGGGAAATAAAATTCATGTTATATGAACTTATGGGGATTCATGAATAAATGCTCTTTGGGCATATTGGGTGCATGAGAATATGAAAAAATGCTGCCTTTGTTTTTATTATGAATTTTTTGTGATGTTTGGGTGATAATTTTGTGGTAGTGGTAGTGCTGTGGTGTGTTGGTGGAATTGGCGTGGTTGTGTATTGGTGGCAATCGTGTGATGGTAGTGGTGGTGTGTCTGTGGTGGTAGTATTGTTGTGGTGGTGGTAATTGTGTGGCGGTGGTGTGGTGGCGTGTTGGTGGTAATTGAGTGGTGGTGGCAGTGGTGTGGCGGTGATGATGTGTTAGTGCTGGTAGGTAATGGTGTGGTGTGGTGATGGTGCTGGGTAGGTAGTAATTGTGTGATGGTGCGGCGATGGGTTGATGCTCTTCTTATGTAGTGTTATTGAGATGATATTTGAGATTTGAAAAAAAAAAGTTATTTTACGAGATATTCCCACATACCCTTTCAACAAAATAAGTGAAGATTATGATCGTTATAATGACTATCCACAATTACATTAGTCAACATCCTTTACGTGGTGATATTGATTTTAATAGTGCAGATGAAGATCAGTCACATGTCCCTAGTGAATCATATGAATATCGCCAGAGACAATAAATATCACTTGCTGAATGTGATTTATCTGACCTAGGATGAGGAAGGTGCTAGGGAGATAATGGAGTTGAGAGAACACATTACAAATTCAATAGTAAATGGGTGAAACAATATTGTATTCAACTTCTTTTTTATTTATGTAGAAGGTCTTGTGAAAACGTTTATTGTAATAACAATTTATGCATTTATTTCTTTTGAGATCTCAATTTAGTGCAAATTATTTTTCCATTCATTATGCATGTTTTTTTTCCCGCATGAATGACCTCCATGGTGAGATATATGACCTTGGGGGTTCTTCTGAATGACCTATATGTTGCTTTGAATTTTGACATATATGAAATTGCCATCAAGGCAATCATGATCCCCTTCTTTTTCAGTCATATGACTATTGGGGTTTTTTGGATGACCTTTGTGGTGTATTGTTTCTGTGACACATACAAACTCGGTATTGCATAATTTAAAGACAATCAAGATATTTTTTAAAGGTCTACTGTCTTTTTGTAGTGACAAATTATTTGTCAGTTTATCCTTTGTGTTCTGAGACATCATGATTTTATAAAACTATAATTGTGTATTTCTATTATTTTTATTTTCCAATGTTGCATCTAACTATTTGTGATATGTGATTTTAAACCTTCAGAAAATATGAATTTGATGTCTTCGGGGTTTCTCTAGAGTCTTTTGCTGCTACTATAAACTGCAGTGTTCTCTGCATACTTCACGAGAGAACATAACTATGAGAGAAAATTTTACAGGTGTCCAAGGAATATATCAGTGGAGGCCTGACTTCTTCAGTTGGACGGATCAATTCAACTATTCCACCCCAGATAGTGATCAGGCGTGGAGAGTTTCTTTGATAAAGAGATTATCTTGTAAAATTGATCTTTTGCATTTCAAATTCATTGTCATGATAATGTTAATTGTTGTTTTATAGCTTTATTTTTTAATTTTTCTTATTGTGTTACTCGCTTTTTTGTGAGATGTTTGTTTTTAGCATGTGATAATCGAATTGGATTTCTGTTTTCATATATGAAATGTGCAACCTGGACTACCTCTCTTATAAACAACACAACAATATAGAGAAATAAACATTTTTTTTATCATAAACAACTGTAGCACAGCTGCTATACAACTTCACAGAACAAACAGACATACGAGTTCCTAGCAAAACCTCAGGGACCACTTTCAACAAACATAGCAAGACAGGCAAAGCCATGGGGACGAACATCATTGTGACAGAGAATTCCAGAAGGATGATCAAGTTGTTGTAAACCTGTAATCATATCACAATCATCCATTTGGCAACAGCCATTTTTGAAGTTCCACATTTGATACTATGGATTGTATATTGTGCCTGAATGACTCATCCTAGTTGCTTACAAATTGGCATTATTGGCACTCTACATAGACTTTGGGGTTGTCTTGTAATGGATTTAAATTGAATTAAACTTAAATCTTGCATAATTTTCAAATCTGAATTGCCAAGCAATCCCTTAGTTTTCAGGCGGCAGGATTTAGTAAATCTGAATTTAACTAATTACTAAATCTGTTGCCAAGCAACCCCTTAGTTTTCATTGTTTCCCTCCTCCATGCATATCGCCAAAATTTGCAGGTTCATCCATCTTAATTGCCAACAACTTCGAAGGATCATCCTCGTGTAGCCAACTGCCTTCCTCAACTCCCTAATTAAGCAAAATAGTTATCACTGGAAACCTAGACTCCAAAGAGCAATTCTTGGAAGTGAGATGTAGTTGGAAGAGCGATCTTTCTGATAGGAGGAGAGTAATCAAATTAAGTAAAATTTGTACACTATTACTTCGTTTATATTTTCTTCATCATCATGATCATCATTATTATCCACAACTACTTGAGGTCAGCACTTCATTTTGTATTTTGTGGATGTCTTAATAGCAAATTGAGACCACCAAAATCACTTTGTATTTAAGCTTTCAAAGAGTTCGATCTCATAAGAATTACATAGTGAAATTGTACATCATATTTGTTCCTTATGTAAAACTCACCTTCTTTGATACAATAGTCATTTTTTATGATAATATTGTAGTTTTTTGTTGAATTTTGATAATTTTTAACTCTGCAAACTTCACAAATTTAAGACACTATTCATCATGTGTATGAAATATACAATGTTAGCGGCCCAAATAAAGAACTAAAGCCACTAGCAAATTCCTCTATTACAAAATTCTCTAGTCATTCTCTATGTTGGAATGGCCTTCATTAACTTTTTATTATAGGAGCAAGAAGGTGCCACGCTGCTGGTTAGTGCAAAATTTTCTGTCCTTACTAAACGCAACATATATCTTCTGTTTGACGAGGTACATGTTTTCATTTGCCTTTTCTTTAACTTTGTAGTTAGTCACAATTGTTAATGGTCCTGAGAATAATGGGCAGACAGTTTCCTTGATTGGAAGATGTCATATTTCCACTTTTTCATATAAGCTCTATCTGTATCCTTGATTGGAAGATGGCCATTCTTTTGCTTATCCATCTTTATGATAATTTGCTATATGTTTGATGGGTTGTGGTAGACGGTTACATTGAAGGTGTTGTGAACTTGTGGTCTTGGTGTGGGTCGAGATAATGGCCAGTGGGGCTTGGGTTTGTAAGTTTTGTGTAGAGGAAAGATAGTGACCAAGAGGTTCTTCAATTAAGGTAGACACTATTGATGGTGAGGGGATTACATAATTATCGCTTTAATTTTGATACGATATGGTTACAGGCAATTAGAAGAAGCAAAAAAATCTAGAAATATTATTACTTTTAATAGAAATATATTTCTTAATATTAATAATTTATTTATTTTCTCTCAAGTGTTTTAAAATAACATATTTATTCTAAATGTTTCGCCTCATCAATACTTCTGATCAAAATATCATCAAAGGATGCTATTAAATCTTTTTTTTTTAATTTGAAAAAAGCTTTAAGAACTCTTTACATCAGTGCTTCAAATGTGTTTTGGGGGCACTGGATAATTCAATAAGCATAACTAGACATTCATATCAATTTATAGAGTTATAAAAGCAATTTTCATTGTCCTGTTCTTAACCTGATTTGATGATATATATATATATATATATATATATCAATTTTGAAAAAATATTGAAACCTGAAACTAGATTCATTATCTCATTTTGTTAAGATTTAGGAAGTTTATATTTAAGGCTATTTTATAATTGCTAGCGTCTTCAGTCTCCACCTTTCTTGGGAACCAATAAAGCCAAATGGCACTCTGACATATTGAAAGAATACTTTTTCAAGTGAATCATAAATTTATCATTTTTGTTCTTTATTCTTTATTGATTTCATTCTATTTACTTTGAATTTTGGAATTCATTTGAATTTTTTATTTCTATTTATTTTTCTAATCATATTGTTACTTATGAATTATTTAAAATATTAATTCATGAGGCTTATGCCCCATCCGACGAAGTAAAATGCCCCGTCTTACTTTTCCATCTTCTTAAGCATTAGTGAGCTATCATTAAATGTTGAACAAAGATGTCTGAGATGGAATGCACACAATGATAGATCTAAGACTTGGTGGACAATTACAATTTCAATTTGCAAGTAATTGCTACTTTCAGGTCAACCCATTCTTTTTACCATGTCTTTTATGCAGAGTACGAAATTCCTTTTTTTTTTTTTTCTTTTTGATTACAATTTGATGTGATCTGGACTTGATTTTCAGAGTTGTCCATGATTTCGGAGAATATTAATTATGCAGGTAGCCGTCGAAAATATCAAAATTAGCAAAGAACTTCAAGCTTTGATTGCCCCTGCTATATTTCCTAGATCATTTTTAAGTCTACAGGTACACTGAAAGTACATTATTTACTCAGAATAATGTATAATTTTACCTTTACTTCTATCCACACTCATTACAAGCACTGAACTTTGGACCCTGCATTTTATGCTGGTAAGGTAATACTTATCTGGAACTTCTGCTTCATCTTATTTTTTTTTATTTCTGTTTCATTTGAACAGTGAAAATAATATCTTGTGTTTATAAAGTATTGGCACCAGTTTCTTTCGCACATCTACACCCTGCTGTTCTAATCCATCTACATGATTATTTTGACTTCTTTAAAGCCTTGATATTATCGCTTTATATCTTTGCAGATCCTTCAATTCCTAAGATCTTTCAGAGCACAGCTGCCTTTGAGTGGGCCTAATATGTACATCTCCTTCCGTGCATTTAGTCGTAATATTTCTTTTCTATTTCAGCTTGAGTAACAAATTCCTTTGTCCTGCAGAAGATCTCCAGGAGGTTTATACTACCTTTCATATCTGGATCGTGACATGCTAATTGGCCGAGCGATCGATGGTGGTGGTGTTTTCGTTTTCACGAGAGCTCAACCACTCACATAGAAATGTTTCTTTTTCTATGAAGCACTTCGTCGAAGCTTTGAGGACCCAACAAAAGCTTTCAAGCTGGAGATGCCGTTAAGTTTTTGCCTTCTTGATATATTTTGTCAAAAGCTGCTCATACAAATCACAAAAGCAGATATCTTATGGTTCAGTTATTCACATTTAGAACTGTAAGTAATACATTCTTGCTCTGTTAGATGCATGGCAACTCCTAAAGCATTTAGTATTTTAATAATTTAACATGAATTATGATTCTATACACTTTCGAGATATCAGTGATACTTGTCATCTCAACTCTAAAATCCTAGATACAAATATATGCTTGAAGAAGAAACAAATTCTCTTAATAGGGGGTTCAAATTACCTTCAAAGTTATAAAACATTTAATAAATTATGAATTAAATAATTATTTAAATTCATGTTGAAGAAATGTAAAAACACCCATATTATTTGAAATTTTACATACATAAATCATGATATACTAAATAATATATTTAATTAAAAAATATCTATTTCTATTCAATTGGTTTCTCTGAGATCTTTTTGAATAGTTCTCAGAGTCTTTTTGAATAGTTGGAAGTTCTTTTTGATAGTGTCGACCTTATCAGAGCCTATGGACTTGGGAGGCCTTTGTGTGTGTGTGTGCGCACGCGCGCGCGCTTAGTGAATGGAGTGAGTGAGAGGAAATCTATGTAATTGTGCAAGTGGAAGAGATCTTCAAAACATAATTAGGGTGATATCTATTTTACTTAAATATATTTTTGAGTTATATTTTTCTATTTTGTACTTATTATAAGTGGGCATTTGTATTAACTAAGTTCTTATCTTTGGACAAATGTTTACTGAGTAATTATATTTCCGCATTTGGGGCTTGGAATAAAATCAAATTTACAAGAACTCTTAAGTATTCACTAGTTCAAAGAATTTTTATGATATAAAATAATTATAAAAATAATTATTTCACTCATTTTCTTAGAAAAAAATTCAAAAATCTGATTGTCAATTGGATAAGATCTAACTTGAATTTGAACCAGTGAGTAACTTAATTTAAAATTTGATCTTGCTTCCTAGTTAGAATGATCTAGTGCTTGAATGTCATATTTACTTGCATACATTGTGTATTCAGATCAATTTTTGGTTTTATTGCCTCAAATTTGATGACCAAAAATTAATTAAGTTAACATTAGTTTTTAAAAAAGTAGTTTTTTAATTCTTTTTTTTTTTTTTTGTAATTTTATAGAACATTTATCATATATTTTGATTTTACTTTAACTTTAATTCTTTGTTTGACTTAATTTTTGATTTAAATTTTGTTTGACTTTAACTTATTTTGAATTGGTTTTGACATGTATTCACTTTGAGTTTTAACTTTGTCAAAATTTTAAAAATAGCTTTTTTTATATAAATTTATTATTTTAAATAAATGCTAAAAAAATAAAATATTCTAAATAGACATAATCACCATTAAGGTGGCAATTTTATTATAAGAAAATTATTGAGGATAAATATATGTTATTAATATTATATTATAGCTTAGCTTACTAGAGTATAAGGCTCTCAGCTTTGAGGTTGTGGGTTCCAAATTTATGGTGGTTTTTTTTTTTGGAGGGATAGTGTTTGTTTAATTATTATTTTAAATTATTTAATTTAACAAAAAAAATTGAAATATATGAAATTTAATAACTATTTTAATTGAAAATGTTTTTTTTAATAAAAATAAAAAAAATCAATATTATAATATAAAATAAAATAACTTTAATTATATAAAGTTTCATTTAAATTTACATCAAAAGATAAATTAATCTTCATGACTGAAATTAATTTAATTATTCATATTGATTTGTAGTAAATAATTATTTAAAATATATTTTGTTTTTCAAAATGTTAAAATTAAATATATAAGGAATGTTATTTTTAAAATTGTCTTGTAAAAATCTACTGAGATATTCGTCTTCTCAAACTTTGTATTTAACATTTATGAAAATTAAAAATATTTTAAATTACTATTGATAGATTTAACTTTTGATATAAATTTAAATGAAAATTTCATATAATTAAAGGTGCCTTATTTTATATTAATGATATTGATTTTTTAATTTTAATTAAATTTTTTTGATAAATTGAGATTATAATATTTAATTTAAAAATAAATATATTTTAAATATTTTTTGCTACAAAGTAGTATGAAGAATTAACTTAATTTTAGTCATTAAGATTAATTTATATTTAGATGTAAATTTAAATGAAAAAATATATATAATTGAAGTTATTTTGTTTTATATTATAATATTGATTTTTAATTTTTATTAAAATTTTTAATTGAGGTTATATTATTTATTAAATTTTATATGATTTTAATTTATTTGTTCTTTCATCTTAGAATGTTTTATTTTCTTAGCATTTATTTAAAATATTAAATTTATAAAAATGCTATTTTCTTAAATTTTGCCAACTTTAGTTTGATCTTTGATTTGTTCCATGGTTTGACCTTGGTTTGACAAATTGTAACAGAAGTTGAAAGAGTCAAATCAGGTTTAATTTATGCATGAGGTTGACTAAGGGTCAATTGCCTTAAATTAATTTGGTTTGTTCAGTTTTAATTTAGTTTAGTTTTAGTTTAATATCATTTATTAATTTGGGTCTAAAATGGGCCTTATGTTGCCTAATCATTAAGGATTAATTGTGAGGCTTTAATAAACTTTTAAGAAGAAATCCAAAGTGTCACCAATCTCAATTCAAATCTTCATGAAATTAATTTTTTGGAGCCAAGAGAGACCAGAGAATCAAATTTAGAAATTTTGGGTGGTTTTCTAACATATTATAATTTTTTTAAATTTTAATAATTATTTTATTGGGTTTGATTAATCAAAATTCTGTAAACTAACAAGTAGTTTTGTAATATGATTCTAACTTTATTGTGCAATTTTCAGATTAATTGGGGCCTGTTTAAGTGAGTTTTGAACTAATTAATATTTCTTTAATTTTTTAAGACTTTGAAATTTAAATAATATTATTATTATTATAGTATTTTATTTTAATTTTATTATTTTGTTTCAACTCTTAAAATCACGAGGGTAAAATTTCATAATTTTTGATGCATTAAATTAATTCTTACGAATTTTAGATGTTGTTTCTATTCTTTTTCTCATTTTTATTTTTTGAAGAAGCCCCCAATTTATTTATCGTCGTATAATTTCCTTTTTTATTTAAATCTCTTTTCCGGATCATATGGATGATCTGAAGAAGAGAGGAATTGGAAGAGAAGGATATATGACATTGAAGACAAACGAGAGAAAGAATGTGGAGAACTTTCGTAAGATAAACTTGGAGTGATAGCCCAAAAACATACAACCAAACAAGATCAGATCGAAAATGCCTTGAAAACATATCGATGAAGAAGACCCTATGAAAGAAACTCTCAACTAGAGAATTAAGAATGTGTGCTTGTTCTAGAGTCAAGAGCAACTCCTAAAGGGACGTATTCCTTTAGTTAATTGCATCTTGGGGGATGCCCAAGAATATTCTCGATTAAAGGAATCTTACTCACACATATATGATGACTAGTAAAGGTATCACAAAGAATGATTATCTCACAGGAGCGTCCCAATGCCCTTAAAGCTCACGTTGATCCATATAACAGAATGTGAGTCCCTCACGATCTTATACGGACGACGACTTATCAACGACTGGGCCTATGAAATAACTAAGACGACTCATAAGATCCACACTATGCTTCCAAGGCCTAATCGAACTTTAAGAGTAGAGGGTGAATCACCATATCCCAATTGGGTGGTTACCTATCAGTAATCGGGGTCTACGAGAAGACATCAACGAAGCGTCAAAAGAAGCGACATGGCTCAAGGGGTTAAGCAAAAGAGGGGAAGAGTAATCCTAATCGGGTAGACAGATCCGTCATCATAAGTTATTGAGATCCCAATTTTACCTGATCGTGAAGGTAGTCGACCCAATGTAAAAGGAGACTCCCTCATCAGCAATTCGTGAATTGCGTCATCCAAGGGAACCTCTATAATAAGTTCAAAAGAAAGAGACTCTAATCCTATGACCCCATGTAGGTAGGAAGAGAAGAGGTGAAAATTATACATGCCAAAGTGGCGAGGATGCCATTGGAGTGGAAAAGATAAGAGACACAACCATGATGCCACAATGCTCTCACAAAGGGCTTACGTTTCGTTTAGGTCAGGGAAGCCTCTAACACCCTAAGCCCATTAGACAACAACCTAAGTTGAAATCTATGTTGGGTTAGTCAGATTGAAGAAGCATGTTAGCATCATTGTTGATTTTGTATGTGTTGGATGTCAACTTTAGCATTGCAAAATCTTTTTTGATACATTTTCCGAATCCCGTAGTCCCAAACATTCATTGAAACCCTCTAGTAAGTGTTTTTGGCATGAAACCCGGGTTGCTGTTGACTTAACAGTACCCAGGCAAGCTAGTTGGTGGCATCGATATCAATAAAACACCTATCTGTTGATTAGTATGATATATAGATGTTATTCCCCACCCATTCGGAGCCTTCCGTGGCCAAGGAAAGTCACAAAACACTCTCACACATGTTTTGAATAAAATCATGGTTTAGACTGTTACACCCGCACGGTGCTTTGAGACTCGCATTAACACTCAAATCCACAAATTAAAACCTAAAAAATTCCCCATCTTTAAGTTATGAGATCGTACTATAGTGATAGGTGGCTTCCCGTAGCATCCTGGTCAGTGAAAACTCTTCAGCGGTCATCCGGGCACCAAATTGAGTTTCAGACTTTCGGGCCGCACTCGCAACTTTGATCTGATACAATGCACCCTTGGTGTCCAATAAGATGTGGGTAAGCTTAAAATCATCCTTACATATCTTATGGAGGCCCAGAAACTCATAAAACGCTCTTGCGTGCGCTTTTGGGAAAGTCAGGGTTTAGGGCGGCACACCCGTGTAGCGGTTTAGAACGCCCATTGACATTAAATTCTCTGATAAAAGACCCATAAGAATATTCATTTTTGAAGTTTCACAACCATATTTCAATGATACATAGTCTCATATAGCTTACAGATGAAAAAAAAAACATTCCCGAACACTTTTCTTCATAAGTTGGAGCTCATTAGGCCACCATGCTCCCCTAAGCTGGACTCGGGCGCCCCGACGCTAGACCCCAACTCCCCAGCGCTAGGTCCTAGCACCTAGGTACCTAAGATAGCCCTGAGAAACAAAACTGAAAGGTTTGAAAGCCGAGGTCAGACCCTAGCATCTCAA